TCACCTCAAAGATCAAGGGGGTTTTACAAACTGAATGAAAATGAAGTATGGAGGATAACTTGCCAGTGTTACCGGTTCTGTGGTTCCACTGTAAGCAAACGTCACATCGAATTCCTTGTTGCCACGATGTAACAGGTCTTTTACACGTAATGCAATTGTCGGCCATTCTTGAAATTAACGTTTTGCAGTCGATAATTAAGGTTTGGGAATAATGATGGGATGCATATTATACCCTGTGAGTAGGTACTACAGATTGATCAATCACATAGGATTAGGTGCTGCTCTTCGAAATACTTTCAGTTTATCTAGGCACTTCCGGTTCATTGAGGTTCTTAATTCCTGCCAACTTTTTTTTTACACCTTTTGACTTTTCACCTTTTCACTTGATCTTGATACATCCTGTAAATGAGAAAAAAAAGAAAAGGCAGGGCTTTAATGAGAACAGACAAGAAACTCTTTGTTCATTGATGTGTATCTTAACTCTTCAAGTTTAAAGGTTGACTAATTGATCAATATTCTCTCAGCAACTTAAGGGATTGCAGGTCAAATGAAGATCAAGGTATTAAGTGAATGAGTATGCAAATGTCTTTATCATTATATTATTATTATTATCAATATTTACGGAGGGATTCATCATTTGTCTAGTTTTTAATTTCAAATCTTAGTTCCAAAATGCTAAAAATGATAAAACTTGTGGCTACACATAGTGAAGTTTTGTTGATGAAAAACATTGTTCGCCGATTGGCTCAAACTCATCTGTGTGAAAATTTATGACCTCAAAGCTAGTGAGTTTATCTCAGTATGTATGTATTAATAATTAATTATTATTATTATTATTATTATGATTATCATTATTATTATTATTATTATAAACTGACAGTAAACTACATAAGATACTTACTTTTAATTAATTTACTTTTGCTTGAACCAGAGCTATTTTTCTTGTACTCTCTTTGGGCTCAACACTTCCATCTTTCATTTCTTCGTCTGTAAGTAGATGTGCCATCAATGCAGTGGCATACAGAGTGGGCTTTTTTGAATTCCCCGAAACATCAGTGATTAAGTGTACTCCTCCAACAGTCCGTTAATAAAGTTAATAATAACAGGAAATAAAAGATATCACTTAACATAATTATGCAAAATTGCCTAAAGAAATACTTTTTAGTCATAGTAAAACGTCACACAAATTTTATATTCAAGCAGAATACCATGTGGCACGAAATTTTTGTGGGAGGTTATTTCTGCAGATTGACAATTTTTTGTGTCTTGCGGGAACTTATTTTTGCAATTAGGACCGATTGGTTTTTCCTGCTGAGAATTAATTTTTGCGATTTTCAGAAAGTATTCAGTACCCAGCATTGATGATATTATCGCTTTTATTGAGTACATGCAATAGAAATACGTATTTTCAAGCAGTAAACCAGTATTTCGATGTTTCTGAATGAAAGAGACAAGTTGTGATTTAACAGACGATTTCTTTACTGTCTTTTTTGTGTAGCGAATTTAAGTTCGAAAATATTTACTCTGGAGTGAATTTTAACGGGAAAATGTTTGCGGTAATTTTTATTTGCGGTAACTTATATTTGTGGATCGCTAGAAAAACTTCAAAGATTAGAACACAAAAATTTTGTGCCACATGGTATGGGACCAAAGAAGACAAAAATAATTGACACAAATATAAGGTCAAAAAATACCATCTAAGATTTGCAAACAAAAACTTCAAAAAAGGGACTAATGTTAATTTGAAATTGTAACAATGTGATTCCTATGCCAGCTGTAATACATCCCAAAAAACGTTAGTTGTCAGTCAAAATGTACAGTTTAGGATAGAACAAAATTGTCTGGTGAAACATTTTGCTTTTTTGAAAAAGTTTTGCTTTCAATACTAAAATTTTGGGTTTCTAGTAACTTATTGTTTTATTGTATGAGCTGCTGATTGGCCCACAACCAACTTTTGTGGAATGTGTTGTTATACACTGTATGGTTGCACTGTTAAAGTTCAACGTGTTTCATGTCAGACTGTCAACGCATCAACTGTGTGATAAAGTTATTGACTTGGAAATCTCAACTTTTGTCCCAGAAGTCTCCAGTCTTGACAGTTGCTTAAGTTCTTTGTTTTTGTTGGTCTGGGAGAAGTACTGTGTAGAGTCAAATTTCAAATTATATGACAAGGAAACAAAACTTACAAACTCCGGATCATTAATGTAATCTTCTGTCACACTAGATTCTTGACCTTGAGCTGATGAGTGAGCTGTTGGGCTTGATGATAAGGTGCCCTAATTGGGGTATTTGTATTTGTATTTATTTATTTGCCACACAATTACAATAATTACAAAAAGATGCCAAAAAAAATGTAGGAAGAAATGGCGAGGAGGCCTAAAGGAAACTATAGAGCTTATGTTAATTAGGCCTCCTCAATTACAATTTTTCGAAGATGGCAAAAAATACGGTGACAGATACAAAATAATATCATGTGGAAAATTAATAATAATAATAATTAAAAATATTATTATAAAGAAATAACTATCAAATAGCTTAACAATCATGTAAATAAAATAAAAATTAATATCATTCTTTAAAGGGTTTTGTTTATCTTACGATTTGTACTTAAATGATAATTGTGCTGTTTTGACGATATACTGCAGGTCTTCATCAGGCAATAGTGTGTGTGGTCCTCGAAGATCAGTAAATTGACTTTATATGGCTTGATCTGCAGTCAAAACCTCACGATCAATATCTGTCATCACCATCCTGAAAAACCCATTGAACATTACGAGCACGTTCTGATTACGGGCACATTCTTCTGTCAGTTGGTCTCCATCTAGAAAAACTCTATCCAGAACCACATTGCCACTGCCCTTCTTCAACCGTGGTACATACTTAAACAGGATAGACATCAGATACTGAGCCATTTCCCCAGAAATGTTGGTGTTTAAGAATTCCAAACCAAGAAAACACTAGAAAAAACAGTGAGAGCAATTCTATGTAACTGTCATCTCTCTCATCAAGAAAAACTTTGGTGCCAACAGGAGTCCAAACAACATAGTGACATTCTTGAGTGGATGTGCAGAACATTTCCCGTATGATTTGAGGGATATGGTTGACACAAATTTTTGTAAGGAACTGATTTGCCTCCCTTGAAAGAACATTTATTCTCCAGAACTGTTTTCCATTTCCCATTGAATTCTATGATTTCATCTAGTGAAGAACCAAGCCATGATTGATTTTGATTTTGCTCATCATTAAAAAGCCAAATTCCAGTTTCTCTTGCAATATTATTACATTAGCACTTCAACTGTCCACATACAGGTAATTCTATCTGCCACCAAAAGTTAACAGTGCTACACGACAGCAAATCCTTAGGACTCTACTACATTATAATTATTTCTGACAAGCATTTTCTTTGATAGTTTTGTATTTTTTTACAAAACTGTCAATGCAAAATAAGCCATAAATGATGTTTGATTGTTATGATGTGGTTAATGGAACAGTGTATGCACAAAGTAACTGATTATGTATTGGCATTAATTACATACACAGATGAATGTGGGGGAGCTCTGTAATAACAGCGTTTTGTACCCAGATTTATAAATATCAAAGGTAACGTGCAGTTTGCTCCCCTGAATGAAAATATTATCCTTGGTATTTTTCATAAAGATCTAGCAAGTTGAAGATGAAAGTGTAACAATGCAGACCATGTAAAAACAGGAAATTAGTCAACTCTCATCAATAATGGCAACAACAACAACAAATGTTATTGAAAATTGAAGATATAACTAACGATATTACTTTCCCACCCGCAAATAGCTTATAAACTAATCAAGGCGGGGGAACTGAAGACATAGTACAAGGTTTATCTATAGATGGACTAAGTAACAGCAAAGACATTACTATACAGTAAATAGAGTAAACTAACGTAAAAAAGGCAAGTACATAGCGATTACGAAGAGAGGCTAACCCAAAGTATTAAATAATGTAATAAGATGGGAGACTTCGACATAATCATCTTCCGACCGCAAGAAATTTAGTAATGGCTGATGTAATTTTACGGTCCAGCTTCTTATAATCGTTCAGACCACCACCATAGTTTGAGCCTTTAAGGGTGTCCTCTTGAAAGCAAAATCTGCCTTAAATTTTTTACTAAAATTGTTAGCTAAAGAATAAATGCGGCATTTTTTGTCTTGGTGTAGGTACACCACTTAGCAAGGTACTAAGGGCACAATCTGTTAAAAGGTAAATAGCAACAGGTTGAAGTGCCTGATCACGGGTTACATTGGTCAAAAATTACTTTTTTTATTTATAGTTCAAACTGCAAGCTGGCTGCTGCTTGACAGAGACTGGAAGCTGCTCATGCCGAATTAATTTTGCCTCTGGCACTAAGAGGTTTAAAACACCGTACCAGCGATGAACAGTATGAACACTACGCTACACCAGTTATCTATTAGTTAGCCACTCTTTAGCCCCTGCCGCACATAACTCTTCTTCCTCATACTTCTCTCCATCCACGGTTATGTCACCTTCTTCACTTCCTTCTAGCCAATCAGAGTCATAATTCCAGGCCACTGCCGATGAGTAGCCTGTTATCTGTTCATCTTCAAGCCAGTAAAGAAAGTCCTAAAAGTCATCTATAACCTGATCCTCCACAGTTCTCTCTGGGGTTCCCTCTGTAGGAAAATGTAAGCTGGCCTATAGCCGTTCTGTATAGCAGAATCTGCAGAGTTCCGTGTACGAGTGTTACGAGTGTGTATATTTGAGCGCTTGGTAAACTTGCTCGTTAAATATTGAGGCGCAAGATCATTCTGACATTTAAAGGTCAAAACGGAGTCTCTATAGAATAATTGTTCTTTAACAGGAAGCCAGTTTAGCTCTCGGAGCAAAGGTGTTACGTGGTCAAACTTCCTAGAGTTTGTTAAGATCTTGCTGGTAAAATTCTGAATAGATTGTAATCTGTTTATATTCTGGAGTGTAGTATTTGACCATACAGATGAGCAGTAAAGCATCTTACTAAAGACTAATGATGTTATTAACAACTCTAGTGTTTCCTTGTCGAAGCTCCTTTTGACTCTATTTATTTGGCAAAGCTTTGCGAAACAAGATGACACTACACATGAAATATGGTGATCGTAGGTCAGATGGGGGTCAAGAAAGACTCCCAAGTCCTTGGCAGAGTCTGTTGGCTTCAGTGTTTTACCTAAGAATACCACTCTAGGGTCTTCTGGTAACCTGCTTAACATCTGTCTGGTGCCGAGGAAAAGGAGTTTAGTTTTATCGGAATTGATAAGTAGATGGTTCTCACAGCACCATTGAGCTACACTGTGAAGGTCTTGTTCGACCTTTTCAATGGCAGCATCAAGCTCAACGAGAGGAAATGACATGAATAGCTTTGAGTCATCCACATACGATTCTAGGTTGCAAAAAGTCGGTGTTGTGGGTAAATCGTTGAGATAAATGCAGAACAACAATGGTGATAGGATTGCGCCTTGAGGAACTCCGTGAGTTATAGGTAGAGTGTCAGAGTAGGCGGAGCCTGTTCTCACGTATTGCCTGCGACCAGTTAAATAGCTCTTGAACCATTTGACAGTAGAGGGTGAGGCTCCTAAGATGGAGAGTTTGTGGAGCAACCTTGCATGGTCTATACTGTTGAAGGCTTTGGATAGATCTAATAGTACTAGTGCTGTTATCTGCTTTTTATCCATTGCTTTGAGTATCTCTTATCCGTGAGCAGGATGTTTAAGGTCTCTGTAGAATAAGCTTTTTATTGCCACTTTGGTGTGAGGTAAGGCGGTTGTTTTTTGTGAGATAGGCGCTGAACTGATTCAAAACAATCCTTTCGAGGACCTTTGAAGCTACGGCTAGCAGAGATAACGGTCTGTTGTTGGCAGCTTTTTCATGGTCACGGTCTTTAAGAATCGGAATCATCTCAGCCTCTTTCCAGTTGTCAGGAAATGTGCTAGTAAGGATAGAACAATTGATGATGTCAGTAAGAGGGCCCAATAGGACAGGGAGACAGTCTTTTAGTACACGAGCGCTGACCTTGTCCGGTCCCGGAGATTTATTCATTGGGAGAGATGTTACAATTCGGCGAACCTCTTCACGTGACACTGTCCTTAAATTGAATAATTCCATAGAGGTAGTATCTATGCCAGTTTCGGATGAAAAATCTCGGACTATGATGTTATGTTCTTTCCTCAGGCGCTGTACTGCGTCAGCGGCATTTAAGCCGACTTTAGCTATTGTGCAAAGCTAGAGCCATATCATGGTCACTTCTTATCTGAGCGCTGTTAGTTTCTTAATGATCTTTAGAATGGCTTTCTTGTCCAGAGGAGTGTCCATTGGTCCCCTGTACTTAGGGCTTATTGCTTGAGAAATAAAAGTTGTGGTGAAAAAAATTGAGTGGGTAAAATTGACATTCCTGAGAATAACTTGAAATTGCCGTAAGTAAAATTGAAATTGCTGTTAATTTTTAGTTGTCGTCAAATTTCATTTTTCCTTTAGGGACTGTGCAATAATTATCTGGCAGCTGCCGTTTGTAGGAATTCATTATTAACATGAATTTGATGATTAATTGTGGTCAACTCCACTGAGCGTGATAATTAAAGTCTCATACGCTGTATGACCTTCATAGCTTCATAGCCATCCATATTCAAATCGCATGCAAATCGCTCAATCTTAAAAACCGGCTTGCAGTTGGCTGTAAAGTTTTTGTAGGCGTGTGCATACAGTTTACTTTTGCCATTTATTTCTGCTTTTCATTATGAGTAGGGAAAACTGAGGTAAGAAAATTATAAATGTTATTTATCCAGGTAAGATATTCATCCTAAAATTGCAAAGAACCACCTTTATTCCTGTTTAACCTCGCAATTCTCTGCATGTTAAACCATCAGCACGAACACCTATTCCATATATTTGCTTCTTTTGAGGTTAAAGATTAGTCGCTGTTCTTTGAATTTTGTATAATTTCTGTACACAACTTTTTTTTCCATAAAGTTATAAGCTTAAGGTTAATGCTGAAGAAAATAAAAGCTTATGTTAAGCTTAGTAGAAGGAGACTGGTTTGGAAAGCTGGCAAACATCAAATTAAAGTTGAAAACAATTGTGCTGTTGTTTATGTTGGGAGCTCTCTGACAGTGCACAGTCCTTTTTTGTTCACAAATTGTGACTGAGAGCTAAATTTTCCATTCATCAATGATTACTCAAATCAAATTGAAAGAAAAGAAAAATGAACATTATTTCCATCATTTCCATCATTTCCCTGTACAAGACCAAGACAAATTCCTCACAGACTTGTACATTGTATCCAGATAACTAGTTCTCTTTGTTCATGTAAAAACATATAGGTAATAGCCAAAGGAAAAAAAAAACACCAACATACCTGGCAATTTGTTCATTGACTGTGATATAAGCTCTATGTTGGAAACTAACATTTCTATCTCGTCTTGTAGGCAGACGCCGACAGTATCCTTCAAAATTTCTGCTTGTACAAACAAAAGGATCTTCATTAAAGTTTTTGACATGTTGATATCCCTTAACATAACAGGTAGTAAATGTTAAATAAATAACATACGATTTAAATTTGGAGTTCACAGAGCACATAATCATAAAAAAAAACGTTCCTTACCCTGAACTTGGCTGGTGACCTCGTTTTTCCATTCATCTGCATGGAATTCACTGCGCGGTGCATGGTAAGACTTAAGGGTATCATCAAACTCCCGCCTCGATGCATTCTGCATCTCAATAGCCTGTTTCAACAAGTCAAACCTAACATATCTTTAACAAATGCATAAACTGTGATAATTATGATACTACTTAGTTAATGTGTTCAAGGGACAGAGAGTGATCAGATGTGAAGTGGCAGATAAGTAGCAATAAATTAACAAGCTATTTTAAGCATACTAAGACAATTAAACAAAAATTTTAAGAAGAACAGTTAAATGGAAATATACCCTTAACGTGAAAAACTCACTTAGGAAGTAAAAGGATTGAACTTTTTTTCAATTTATAATGTATGTTAGCACGGCAAATTTGATCTGAACAAACCAACAACACCAACAACAAATATTCATTAGATACTCATGCGTAGATAACGTTTCAATTTCCAATTGGCCCTCCACTGAGCAAGGTCTCCCACTGTGGCACCATATTTCATCCATTAGGCTATTTCTGAAGAGAAATGCTCGCAATACACCACCACAAATGCTTGGAAAGCAGCCATCCATAGAGTACTAAAGTGATGACGTCTTAAAAATGAAATTACTGAAATTATGGGATTTGTCAGGATATTCTGAAAGAACAATGTTCAAGACACCTACTTGCCAAAAATGAGCATTTTGGGGCAAATTGTCTCTGAGATCGTAGCCCAGTTATGCTTAGATAACTCCAAACAAACCCTTCTAAATTTGGTTTTCTTTTACTTGGAATAAATATCCCCTGCAGTTTACCGCGTACTATCCTTGAGGAAAAATGGGGACTACTTGTAGTCTAGTGGATGGCAGGTTCATTCTTTTGATAATCCCTTATTTTATCAGTGGTGTTCTTTGTGAAAATAAACAGTTGAACAAAACCACAAAACCTTGCAGTCCATGATGAAGACCATTGCCTTTCCAGTATTGGATTTCTGGTATCGAAATTTTCTGCTGCTGAGTCATCATGAAAATGCAGCTTCACAAATTAGCAATTACAGTCTACTCCATCAAGAATTCACCAGTATATCCTGTCTATTGAACATGACATCACCATCTTGAAAAACCCATTGAACATTACAAGCACGTTCTTGTGTCAGTTGGTCTCCATCCAGAACCACATTTCCACTGTCCTTCTTCAACTGTGGTACATACTTAGACAGGACAGACGTCAGGTACTGAGCCATTTCCCCAGAAAGGTTAGTGTTTAAGAATTCCAAACCAAGAAAACACTAGAAAAACAGTGAGAGCAATTCTAAGTAACTGTCATCTCTCTCATCAAGAAAAACTTTGGTGCCAACAGGAGTCCAAACAACATAGTGACATTCTTGAGTGGATGTGCAGAACATTTCCAGCATGATTTGAGGGATATGGTTGACACATACATTTTTGTAAGGAACTGATTTGCCTCCCACGAAAGGATATTTAATCTCCAGAACTGTTTTCCTTTTCCCATTGAATTCTTTGATTCCATCTGGTGAGGAACCAAGCCATGATTGATTTTGATTTTGCTCACCATTTAAAAGCCAAATTCCAGTTCTCTTACAATATTATTACATTATCTGTTTTTTCCCCAGGTAGGTGACAAGAGCGCTGTCTTCATTGAAAGAACCCCATAACATTGCCAAATTTGATTCATTTCCTTCTTCACTTACACCATGTAAATCATGAGATAAATCATTCCAGTAATCATTCATGGCCTCCGCTTCTTCTAAAAATTTACAGCAAAAAGCGGATGAAAGCTATTACCTGTGTATGATTGTACACTGAAAATATGTCTTACCCCGCCAATTGGTCTATAATTTTAGTTGTTTATCCTTAAAAATTGTAAATTCAGCATTGCACTGGAGATGGATTTTTGTCTTTGTTGCCGGCTGACATGTTGCTGAGACCTGATGGCGTTACCTGAATATACCTTGACCATTTCCAATTGTCATGTGGTCAACAGTGTTATCGGTTAAACATCACACAAAAATACAATGTTAAGGAAAACAAATAAAATCATAGTCAGAACAATCGGCAGGGTAAGGCATATGTTCAGTGTACAATTATACACAGGTAGACTATGGCTTTTCATCCTCTTCTCAATACCAATATGTCTCCAAAGTTTGAGAAGAAGCAGATGGTCAGCATGCAGGTGATAGTTTTTGGTTGTTTTATGGATTGTAGTCTTTGAAAGGGTGTAATTCAACTTCATATATATTTTAGGGGGTCTTAGTTTTCATAATCTCAAAAACTAAGACGGGTCGTAGGTCTTAGTTTTCATAACACCCCATGGGTGGTGGTCGGTGGAGATTACAGAAGATTCAAATTGATTGGCA